GCAGATACCCTGTGGGCGACTGTCATGCAGTGGCACCATGAGCAGATCTGTGGATCGCATTCCCGCTCCAAGACAGAGGAAAATGGTTATTCATCAGCCACTTCCTATCCATAGGTGGCTGTGGGCTTCGTGCTCTCCAGCACCTCCCAAGTCTCCCAGTAACAAGTCTTAAAGGCTTGTGGTAGAAAGCTGCTGTGCAAGCTAGCAAGAATTACAGCAGCTGCTGTAGCAGGGATGATAGTGCTCGCCACGTCTTGAGCACCTACTGTGTGCCAAGGATCTGTCTCCAGTGCATTACTTGAATCCTATCATCTGTCCTCACAGCAACCTGGTGATACACGTGATGTGACTGTTCCCATTTTGCAAAGGAGGAAACTGAGGGTCACAGTGGGCCTGTGACTTTGCCCCAGTTGTCACAGCCGGGAGGTGGTGGTGTCAGGATGTGAACCTAAGTTTAGTTGGTGTACTCTCCAGACCTCATTCCCCCTTTGAAGGGAGCACTGTTTTCTAGAAGATTCAGGCTCCTAGCCCTCTCCCCTATGGGAGAAAGAACACGTTCCTCTTAGGCAGCGATTCTCTGGTGCTGCTGAAAATTCCCTTTCCCTGCAGACTCTTGCAGCATGGGAGCCTCGGAGATTGAGGCTTGTGAATTTGATTTTGCAGCAGGGGGTCAACTAATAGACTCCAGGCCAGTTGCTCTTTTTTTCCATAGGCAGCAGAAAGGAAAAGTCTAATTTGGGGGTAATGATGGGCATTTCAGCTGGAAAAATGACTCAATAAGTGGACACAGTGTCATGGGGTACAGAACCTGGCTGTAGTCCCCCTTGCCCTCCCTCTGTGGGCTGGGCTGTTCCAGGGCCTGGCTGATCCCACAGACTCCATCAGCAGAACTTACCTGGGCCCTGGACCAGCTCTAGCTCTTCACACTTGAACCTCCATGGGAGGTTTAAGTGCCTGACATCACAGATATTGCTTGAGGCTTTATCTGCAAAAACCAGGCTGTGTTCCTGGGCCCACTGTTGTCCTCTGAAGCCCCAGAGTGGAAGAAAGAGGAGCCCACGTCCCCTATGCTTTAGCCAGAGGTGAAGGGGGACTTTTCCATGACTGCAGTAGATAATCAGCAAGGGACATTGAACAGTAAGATGCTGGAGAGGAGGCCACAAAACGGGCAGAGACCTGTGCATCTGGTCCTGGCTTGGCAATGGTCCAAAGGTGAAATTAGATTGCTTGTCCCTGCCTCAGAAGGTTTCTTGGCATCTGCAAGTCAATCTTCCAACTGAGCTTGCTAGAAAACACCCCCAGGTGGGGGTGGCAGAACAGAAAAATTGCTTTCTAGAAGGTTCCAGAGCAGAGTCCAGCTATTCCAAGTGCAGACACCGCTTGGCCAACTCCCATTTGGCTTCAGAAGATTCTCCAGGGATGCCCAGGTGTCACTGTGACGGTGTCACCATCCTGAGGAATCCCCAGGGCCCCCCCCAGTGCCTGGAGAACCAAACACGGGTTCCTGGTGTAGCTTTGGTTGCCCTGCCCCCCTCCTCTTCCTCAGATCCCACTCCTTTGGCCTCCTTGACCTTCATCTTCTGAGCCCTGAGCCCACCAAGCTTGTTTTTGTCCTTGAACCTTTGTCTCAGAACTCAACTCCTGTCACCTATGGGAAAAGGCCTCCTAGATGACACTTAGCCAAGGACTCCCCCCATCCCTGTAGCTCCTCATCTCATTTCCTTGCCTTGCTCTGACATGATCTACCCTATCTTCTGATCTATGTGCTTTTCTTTCTATTCTCTCTCCCCATAAACACGGAGCTTCATCAGCCTTGTTTGCTACATGTTCCCTGCACATTTGTTGAATGAATGAATGAATGAATGAATGAATGAATGGCTTTTACATTCAGCAGAGCTCTGTGTCAGAGTTTTAATGCAACATTGGTTATCCCATGGAACCTGGGACTTTCCCCATAGGTCCAAGAATCAGGTGGCCTTAGAAAGAAAGCAAAAGGAAGGAAGGAAGGAAGGAGAAAAAGAAAGAAAGAAAGAAAGAAAGAAAGAAAGAAAGAAAGAAAGAAAGACAGAAAGAAAGAAATAAAGAAAGAAAGAAAGAAAAAGAAAGAAAGAAAAGTCATAAGAACTTAGGATTTTTATTACCCTGTTAAAGTCAGGCAATACAGTGGGGACAGCTAGGTGATATCCTAGACTCATCTCAAACAAGGACGTTTTGACTCAGGTAGTTAAATCTCCCTGGGATCCTCCTCTTTGCTCATACCTACCCCAAATGTAAAGCAAGATAAAGGGAAATTATGGAGGCATCTAGCACAGTGGTTAAGATCTGCTGCTTACTGGCTATGTGACCTTGAGCAAGTTATCCAGGTTTACTTGGCCTTGATTTCTCGCTGTGTAAGACGAGGATAGCAGTCATTGCTCCTTCTTAGGGCTATTTCTGAAGATCACATGAATTATGTAAAACACCCAGGACATTCTCTTGTACATTGTGAGTACCAAAGAAGCGTTAGCTCCTGTTACTTTCAGGGTCCCTCTGTCTTTGTGACACTCATCACCAACAGTGTGCTCCTCTTTATGGCTCTCATCCATCTTAGACTTTTCAATGCCAAGAACCATCTCTTTCTGAAGATTCTGTATTATCTAAGTGAGCTTCTCCTAGCCCAACTCAATCATCTGTTCAACAGTTATGATTTTGCATATCTACATACCAGCCCTATTATTTTTAAATATATTTTCATTTTTAGTGGACACATGGTAATTGTACATAATGGTGGAGTATACTGTGCTATTTCAATACATGCATAAAGGGGGCTGGGGATTTAGCTCAGCAGCAAAAGCGCCTGCCTGGCATGCGCAAGGTCGTGAGTTCGGTTCCTGGTACCGGAGAAAAACAAAAAAAACAAACAATACATGCATAAAGCATGTAATGACCAGATCAGTGTAATTGGCATATCTATTACCCTCATTTGTTTACTGGTAATAGTTTTTCTAAAAGTAGGTAAATGTATTTAAAGGTGAAATCATGACCTATTATTATGAATGGGAAATCAATATCACTTATCATTCACCTGAGGAAAATAGTTATTCAGCTGAGAGACACATCGATTCTGTTCCCCATGGACAGTATCATCTGCCCTCAGCTGGGACTGGGGTTAGCGTGTTTGGGAGAACTTCTGGGTATATTTGGACCCCTACCCCCACCACTCTTTGTACTGTCTGTGTCCCTCTAAGGCTTTCCTCTGCATTTCAAGGGCCCTAGGTCTGCCTCTTCCATGTCAGAGAGGAATGCACGACTATGAAAGACTAAACCCAAGAAGAATCAGGGAAATATACAGGCACTCCAAAGTTATCATTTTGCTGGGTGGTTCTCCCACCTGAACATGCATCAGGGCTTGCTAAAATGCAGCCTTCAGATCCTCCATCCTAGCCTCAGAGTTGCTGATTCAATAGCTCTGAGGATTGGGCCCGAGTAGTTCCCAGAAGGTGCTGATGTACCAGGGGACTGTACCTTGAGAACCGTTCAAACCATTCTGTGGAAGAGACCTAACAAATCCCCAGAGACGAAGAGGGCAGAAGGCAAACCCAAGCTTCCCTTGTCTCTATATAGTGTGTGTGACTTTCTACTGTAATACTAACCCTCTAAGAAGCCTGTAGGCCACCGTCTTGCAGAGGTGTTAGCTCTTAGAAGTTAGCCTAGTGCGCACAAAAACAGGAAGGGAATCCGAAGGGCATCTAGATGGAGTGCTTATGGCCTCTCCCACAGTGTGTATCTATCTGAGTGACATAAAACTCAGAAAGAAAAAGACAAAGCCAGCTACAGTAATACGGATTTCTATTATCCTTATGAAGTCAGGTAACTAGGTGGAGAGAAAGCTGGTACCTTAGACTTCTCCCAAACACAGGTATTTTAATTCTAAACTCTTCAACTTAATACCTCCTAATATCTGATAGTCATATTATCCTAATTGAAATTTCTTATTCCATGTCTCATACAGCTTGAGACTTTACAATAAATAAGAGGCCAACTTTGGGACAATTGACCCAAATTTACTGCAAGAACAAATGAGTTAATCTCAGTTTTTCCACCTGGAAAGTGGGAGTGATGCTAACACTAATTTTTAATGTTATTTTTTCCATTTCTTAGTGTTATAAAGATCATATTCCATAGCATATGTAAAATGAGTCCCCAAGGAAATGGCAGATGATGATCAGGATTGTGATAATGGCACTAGTAAATACAGACTGATGGGGAAAGTACTTTTCAAAGCATGAAATCCACGTAGGCACTGTTGGTGAATGGACCTGAGAGTAGGGGTGACAGAAGCTCTTTTGAGAGTTAATTTCCTGGGTTGCCAAGGATATACCACTGCAGTAGTTGCCTCATCTTATCTCACATCTTGGTATCCACAAACACCAGAACTTTTCAGATCATTTGGGCATCTCATCCATCCAACTACCTATTCCTCCATCCATCCATCCATCCAGCCAGCCAGCCAGCCAGCCAATTACTCTTCTATCCATGCATACAGTCCTCTACCCATTTATCTCCCCACCCACCAACCCATTCACCCATTCAATTACCTACTTTTCCATCTATCCACAAACTCCATCTATCTACCCACTCATCCATCCATCCAAGCAACCATTGGGCCACTCACTCTTTCATCTCCATCCATCCACCTACTCATTCATCCATCAACCTGTCTACTCATCCACCATGCCTCCCTCTATGTATATCCATCCATCCATCCATCCATCCATCCATCCATCCATCCACGTACCTACTCTTCCATCTATCTACACACTCCATCCATCTGCCCACTCATCCATCATACTTCTGCCTATCCACTCATCTACCATGCCTCCGCCTATTGATATCCATCCATGCATCCTTCTATCCATCCACTCATCTAACTATTCCTCTCTGTATCCATCCACACACCCATCTCTCCATTCATGCAGTCATCCATCTGTCTTTTTCTCTCCTCCTCTTTTTCCCTGCAGGTTAAAGTGCCACAACAAATGCACCAAAGAAGCCCCACCCTGCCATCTCCTGATCATCCACCGAGGAGGTAAGTATTTAACACTTGCTCCCCTATGGTAGGTTTGGGTGGGGTCTCCCGCTGGCCATCCAAGACATCCATCTCACCCTGCATGGCTCTGGATACCTCCTGATCCCCGTATACTTGCCTATCTCATTTCTTTCACTCCAATGTCTTTTTCCTGGCTTCTGTCCTCTTTATCCATCTGTGTGCTTGCCCTCTCAAACGCTTGATTTTATACTGGTCCCTATGATATTTTAGCCCCCAGGTTCAGCCCTTGTCTCTCATTCTTGTCGCTTCTCTTCATTCCTACTTCCTCTCTTTCCCTCAATGCCGTTGCTTTTCCTCCCCACTTAAGAAGAGTGCTGGCTGAGTGCTCTCCCATTGTGTGCTCTCCAGACTCAATCAATTGGCTTTCCAGAGGTTGGCCTGGGGAAGGATCTGGCTCATGTCTGTTGGTTTGAACCATCTTTATTCTACCTCTGGGGGCTCTGAGGGTGTCTGGGCTCACCCGACCAGGCAGGGAGTTTACTCTTAGCCTCTCACCGTATAAAAGCAAGACCCGTTTATCGGGAAGGAAAGACTCTTCTTTGTCTGCCAAGGACCGAATAGGAAACAAGCTTATAGTCCAGTTTTCCAAATAATTCCCTTGACCCTCACCCAGTGGAGTAGTTGCCTCCAGACTCTGCTATGCATTTTGCAGTTCATCCCTGGGGGATGCTCCAGGCCTATGTTGTCAGTAGCTACTGACTGCATCTATTGTTTAACTTTAGATTAATTAAAACTAAACAAAAATACAAAGTAAAATGACTCAGTCATACTTGAAGGCTACTCACACTTAGCCACATGTGACTGCCATAATGTGGTGGATAGTACAGATACAGAGCTTTTTCATCACTGCAGACTGGACACTGGTCATTGTGTGCAGACTCTTGCTACTCCAAGCGTGGTCCTTGAACCAGCCACACTGGAGTATGTTAGAAATACTAGGAGTATGTTAGAAATGTATAATTTCTGATCCTGCTCCAGGCCTACAGAATCAGAACCTGCATTTTTAACAGACGCTGGATTTCCATGTACCTTAGAGTTACAAAATGCTGCTTCAGAACAGAAGTTGCATATACAAACTCAGATGCCTCCAAGGGCCCCATGGGGCCAGGCCCTGTCCCACATGGGGCCAGGCACTATCTCGAAAGGGTGACCACACCAGCAGCAATGCAGACCTGTGTCCTCAGCTCCTCTGATATTTCAAACAAAAGTCCAAATAGAGTTTCATGTGCCAGATGCTTATTTTGTTAGCAACTTATTAAATATTATGAAGTCTTTCTGGCCACCTACCTGCTACTGCCTATTTATGGGTTGGGTGGAGCCTGAAAGCCACCAGAAAGCAACTTTAGGGTACAGCAATTTGCTAATCCAAGACCAAATCTCCCATCTTTGTCCTCCATTGCCCCTGGCCTTGGTTAGTGCTTGCTCAGGGGAATCACTCACGTTTAGAATGAACCCAAGGGAAATGTAAAGGAGGAGGCAAATTGCCGCAGAAAGCAGTCCCAACGCCAGCAGACGGTGAGGTTTTTGATGACTTTTGCCTTGTTGATCACCAGGAAGAGAGAAACGCAGGAGAAGTCTTCAGTTCTCTTCTCCTGCTCCTTCCCACCCCACATCCTTAATTAAGAACCATCTGTTCCCTAAGAAACTGGATACACTCGATGAGGCTGTTTTGAAACCTGAATTCTCCTTGCATCTGAGCCATAGCTCTGGGTCAGCTTCCTTGGGGACATCGCCTCCCACCGAGTTCTTCTCCTTAGTAGGTGCTACCAGAGTCCAGCTCTTATGTGGAGGCGAGACCCAGCCTGCTGGCAGGTGACCCATGCTCAGAGGCTGATATTTGGAGAGTGGTTCCCTCCTACCCACCTTTAAGGTCATGTTCCTTGTGCTCCAACCCTGCAGGTGCCTGTACAGACAAAAGCAACATGAACTTTCCAGAAGCCTGCCAGCCTCTCGCTTTTCCCCCCTTGTTGGTGAAAAGTTGAAAATAGAGTCAGTTTCCATGGCAATGGCAGCTCAGGCTAAGCAGAGAAATTAAATCCCTGGGTCAGCCTAAAGCTTTAACTTCTCAGCCAATCCCGCTCCCCTCATCCCCACAATAAAGAACAACTAACAGGAACCAGTATCAGGCATGGGATTTGAATTTGAGCTTCTCACGGTTGTCCCCCACCGTATTCTGTGTGAGTAAGGAAACACCAGGGGGAGAGAGGCCTGATGGTGGGACTGGGATCGGGAGGGCATTTATTTAGCATCACTATGTGCCCAGCTTCCTGTGTGGCTGCTGGATGTGACATCAAGGGTCAGGGCAGAAGAGCTGAGTCTTTCTTTCAGGGCCCCGTGGTTGTTTAGAACAATGATATTTCTATGTGCAACAGGTTGAAAAGCCCCATAAGGAACAAAAGATGACCCTAACGCGAAGACTCAAAGAGCAGGGACGTGCGATCATCACGAGCCAGTTCGCTAACTATAGGCCCAAGAGATCACGACTCTTGTATTTTAAATGAGGTTCACTTTTGAAATGAATGCCCAGATGGAACAACAATGGTATTGAACCAAAGCAAAACCCTGATAGCTTTGGTTCTTTTGCTGTAATTTTTATTGACAAAAGTCATATATTGTCAGTATAAAGTGTGTAGAGACCATGGAGAACAGCCAGAACCCACCACGGTGGTGAGGCGATGGTCACTCTTAGTGTCGGGTTCAGGTCCTTAAGGTGGAGTCTGAGCTCCGCACTCCTGGCATGGTCAAAGCCACAATGATACTGACGCTCTCAAATCTCTGTTTTTACCCCTACGGACCCAGCAAGGTTAGTCCGGACAGAGTCAGTCCCGTGTGACATCAACAACCCTGTACGGAAGCCACCCCGATATTCGGACCTGCACATCAGCCAGACGCTCCCCAAAACCAACAAAATCAACAAGGTGAGACCGAGCTTCCTCTGGGTCCGGGCCTGTGGGGCTGGCATGGCCAGGTGTGGGGCAGGAGACAGGAAGGGATGGATCTGGAAGTGTGGTTTGCTTTGTGTAAGCTGTGGGTGGAGCCTCTCCCAGTCAGTGGAGAAGTACCCATGCCAGGCATCTGTCTGATTTAAAAAGTGAGAGCACAGAGAAATGAGAATGAATGAGTGTGTGGAGGAGGAAGCATTAGAGATGGGTAGAGATGCCAAAAGGGAGTTTCCTTGGCGGTCCAGACCCTGCCTGCTCTGCTCTGCGAGATGTTTCCCCATCTGCCCGATCAGCTATGCAGATGTTCTCGGCTTTCTGAACATCTGTTGAACTAAGGGTTGGGGGATCTATTTTTCAGCTTCTGCTGGAGACTGGGTGGATGGATCTCTTTGGGGGCCCCCAGTCTATGAGCAGCAGCCAGTTTGGTTGGTTTTTCTTTGGGCTGATGGCCAACAGCAGGCTCTGGTACATCCTTCTTTCCAGCATGATTTACACATCTTTTGTTTGGTCTGTGGATGGGGCTACAGCAAAACTACCCTTCAGGCGCTTCCAGACCCACGCAAGAAGACAAAGATTGTCCCCTGAGGGCTTCATGCATTGTGTTGAAGGTGGATAAAGTATGAACAGCCAAAGATGGGGGAGGTCGCCAATCTGTGTGCTGGTCCCGAGAGTCATCGTGATGACTGCTGACCTCTCCTTGGCAAGTGCAGCCCTGGCTTCTCTGCGTAGGCTAGACAGGGGTTGCCCCTCCTCAATATGTTCTCCACAAGGCAGCCAGAGTGAATCTTAATGAATATAATTAGAATCCCATCGCTCCTCTGCTTCAAATCCATCCAACAGCTTTCTCTTGCTTTTAGAAAACAAATCCGCTCCTTTACCACAGTCCACCACACATAATTTGGTCCCTCCTTCCCTCTCGGACCCCCCCTTCCAGCCTCCCACCAAAGCCTGTGTGTCCTTTTGCTCTTGTGTGTCACAACAGTTTTTGCCACTAGATCTCAGAACCACTCACCACCTGGCTCCTTGCCTGGCCCCGGGAGCCAGGAAAACCAGCCTTGGCTTCCCCTGCTTACTGGCTGTGAAACTTCGCATGAGTCATTTAAACTCTCTGAACCTCAGTTTTCCTAGATGTGAAATGGGGGCATTTTGGTTATCTGCTGCTGCACCGCAAGCTACCCCAAACTTAGCGGTGTTCAACAACCACTCCTGTCCTTTGCTCACAGAGTCTGTGTGTTAGGGTTTGCGTCAGAGCACAGGAGAGACAGGCTGTTGTGGCTCTATGCTGTCCAGGAATCAACTGGGAAAACCCACACAGCTGGCAGCTAGAGTCATCCTCGTGTTTGTGGGTTTTGCTTTATTGTTTGTTTTGCGGGTGGCAGGGGTTGTTGTACTGGGGTTGGAACCCAGGGCCTCAGGCATGCTGGACAAGTGCTCTACCACTGAGCGACACCCTTGGCCTTAGAGTCATCTAGAGCAGAGATTGGCACATCATAGTCCCCATGCCAAGGTCGGCCCACCACCTTTTCCAATGAATAAAAGTTAATTGACAAAAGCCACCCCCTTATTGTGTGCTACTTTTGTTGTACAGCAGCAGCAAAGTGGAGTGGTCACAATAGGGACTACACGGCCTGCAAGGCCTAAAATGTTTGCCACCAGTTGTTTGCAGCAAGAGTTTGCCGACCCCTGACCTAGAAGCTTTGTTGCTCACATGCCTGATGCCTGGACTGGGTGAGTCCAAGTCTGGGTTTGGCAGAAAAGCCAAGCAACACACTGCACAGGATTTGCCTGGGGCCCCAGGTTTGCTTACACTACATATGGATGTTTCTGTGTAGCTGGACTCGTACGGCAGCTCACGGCTCAAAGAACCATCAAGTTAGCAAACAAGCTGGACCCCTGCTTGAGTACTTTACTGACAGGAGCATTTACGAGCCTGCTCAGGCTCAAGGGAGGAAGAGACATAGACCCCCAAGTCTGCATGGGAAGAGCCCAAGAGCCTACGGATTTGGATCCATATTTTTCTGTGGCATCCCAGGTGAGCAATAAGGGTGTCAGCCTCACCGCTGCAGAGGTAAAATTAAATAATCTACGTCTAAAATCACTTAGTGCAATTCCTAGCATCTCGTAAATATCCAGGAAATTCTAGCCAGTGCGGTTAGCTTAAGTCTTGGAGCCTTCGATCAGAAATGTCACAGTGAGTTTCCTTTCCCTTTGCTATTTACGAAAGATATTGGTCTCAGGGCTGGAGATGCGGCTCAGTAACAGAGTGCTTGGCTAGCACCTGAGAGGCCCTGGGTCCCATCCCCAGCACTGTGAATAAATAAATAAAACAAAAAAGGAAAAGATACAGGGTGCTGAAAGAGGGGCTCCCTCCTTCTGGGAGGGCTAAGGGTGCTCAAGTAACTGTGTGTTTCATGAGCCGTCTTTTCCTTTGACATCTTGAGGGGCAAGGAGCTTCGTGGAGCCACCTTGAGACCTTTTCCTCTAGCTTTTCATGCACTAGAGCCCCTCGGTGTCAGATGGGACAGAAACACAGATAGGATGGATCAGTGACCGTGACATTGTTCTGCTTGTCTGCCAGCAGGAGAATTTGATAAAGGAAATAAATTAACCTCTATTTAGAAAACAGCTCTGACATGAAGGTGGACAGGATCTATCATCGAGCTGGGTTATTTTTTCCCTCTTTCTCTTCTCACTGGCTTCATGCAGATTCCTTTTGTCAGGCAATGATGTGGTTAGTGCAATAGATTTCTGAACTGATTTGGTCTGAAGATTTCCTTTTCATTGCTCTTCGTCTGTTTTCCTCTCTGGCTCCACATATCCATGGTCTTGCTTTTCCACCTGGCACGGTGGCTGGAATGTAGATTTTGGAGTCAGAAAGCCTGGGCTTGTCATTCAGCTCTTTCGCTTGCTAGGTGACTGTGGGCTAACCACTTCATGCTTTGCCTGCCTTACTTTTCCCCTCTGGAAAATGGGCTGTGTGATGTGGGTATTGTTGATTGTGGAGAGGATTGGATGTGTTATATGCATGAAGGATTTAGTCCAACACTGGGTATTCAGTATTTGCTAGTAGCTGGATGATGAAGAAAACAGAAGGAGGGAGAGGAACATAAACGAGAAGGAAGAGGAGGAAGAGAAAATGGGAAAAGGAGGAAGAGACAAGAAGAAATAGAAGAGGGAGAGGAAAAAGAGAAGAACAGGAGGAAGACGGGAAGGCAGAAGAATGTGAGAAAAAGAAAGAGGACAGGGTGGAAGAGATGAGAAGGATAGATGAAACGGAGGAAATAGGTGGTGAAAGATGGAGAAGGATGGAGAATAAAAGAGATAAAGGGGAATGGAGGAGAGGGAGGAAGGTGGAGAAGCAGCAGCGGTAGCATCTGGCATCTCCCAGGGGACCCGTTTACAGCCCTTGACCCTCCACGTAGCAGACATGAGAAATGCCATCTGCAGAGGCAGCCGAGGCTGACGTCCTGCCTGCTGTGGTCACGCTGTCTGAAGTGGCCGAGTGCTGTCTGGCTGGTATTGGTTGGCTGTGAGGAGCAGAGGTCCACCCCATACTCAGCCAGACGAGTTGTCTACTACAAGGATGCACGTGGGGCAATTAGGGAAAGGGAGATGACCTTCTAGGAGCTGGGCCTCCGGACACTAGCTATCAAGGATGGCCTTGAGCCAGCAGGCTCCTTGGCCCCTTGTAAGATGATGGATCATTGTCTGGTCCTCCATTGTGATAATGACACAGACACTCTGGGGTTCTGCCCCACGCTGTCACTGTTGCCTGGCTTCCTCATCTCTGCTCTCGCCTTTTCCCTGTGTCCTTGCTTCCACCTCCACAGAGTTCCCACTCCTTATGACCTTCAGCTGATGTATATTCTTCTGGGTTATGGAGGTTTGTTCTCTTTCAACCTCATTTCTACTCAGTATTTGCTCCTAATGCTTTTTGCAGTTATTATTGGCCCTGCTCCCCATTTCATCCCGTACCATCGGTTACTGACCAGTTGCCACTACCATCCTGTGTTGGCAAAGGCTGTTAGGTCAGAGGGCACGGGCCGTTTCCTTAGGAAATGTCCATGAGAAAGCAGTTCCCAGCACCATCATGTCCAAATCAGTGTTCCGTGGGGTACAGCGGGAGCCTGGAGATGAACAGACAACTGTTTGAGTCCCACCGTCAGAGGTGAGTTTCTGATTACTTGGCATAACCTTGGATTTCTGCCCTAGACTGGGTGCTGGGAACTGAGCCAATAACTCTAGCAAGGCAATCTGTGCTTCAGCATTCCCCACCTACAAAATAAAAGTAAGGACTTCCATGGTCTCTAAGGTATGTTTCCAGCTCTTATTTCTGTTCAGAAATAGCGATCTTGCCATCAGCCCTTCCCAGTGTGAGCGGATAGAGCTCAAATTTACCCTCAGTGGGACCTCTAGTAGCTGGTCCCACTGGGACACAGACTTAGTCTGATCTGCAGAAGGAACATCCCCTCCTATTGGAACAGCTCTGCTCAGGAAGTGAGCACCATGCATATTAAAGAGTCTGTTTATTCCCACCATTCCTGAGCCATAGACCTAATTCCTGTCCTCGAGAGATAGAGCCAGTCCCTTCCTCAGTAAAGACAATTGACTGGCTCATTTGTCCATTTATTCACCTTTATTAACCCTTCCCATGCTTTTGTTTCTGTGCTAAGTTCTGCAGCTTCTAAGATAAATGACACAGTCCAATGGGAAGAGATTGATCTTCTTCTTCCCTCATTTTCTCCACACCTCCAAACCTTCTTTCCTTTGTTTCATTCTTTTTTCCTTCATCCAGCACACATTTAACTGAGGGCCCACTATGTGCCTGGTGCTCTGCTAAGTGATGAGAATTAGGTGATGACGATAACCCAGCTCTTGTCCTCAGGAGCTCCTACCCCAAAGGATGAGGCAGAGGTGAAAGATGGCCACATAGAAGCAGCAAGGGGAGCTGGGGCATCGTGCACAGCTGGCACCACCTGAGGTGGAGTGAGGAGGGTCAGGCCAGCTTCTCAGGGGAGGTGAGATCTGAGCTGCATTTGGGACAAAGAAGAGGCAGAGCAGGACAGGACTCACAGACCTTCCAAGTAGAGCTGACAGTGTGTTCCCAGCCTGGAAGATGTGGAAGGACCGGCTTTGCGCTAGGAACAAAGGGCCATTTAACATGACTTCAGTAGACCTTTCACGGAAGTGAGGGGATTGTGAAAGAGGAATAGATGATGTCAGCCCAGCTCCAACCTAACTCATAGACCAACATTTTAAACATCCACCATCATTTGAACAAGGTCTACGTTCTAGTCCTTGTACATGGGATGCCAATTTTTAGCACAAGTCTTTGTGGCTTTGTAACTTAGATAATGATCAACTGTACAGGGCATCTGTGGAAATTTCTAAAAATCTACTAGTCTGTGAGTGGCAGTTCAAAGAGCAGAGGCTTAAGAGCACTTAGGTGACCCACTGTCATGTCCCCTATCCCCTTGGATGACCCTCCCAGCCTCTAACTTGAAAACCTCCTCTTATAACCCTTGAAAAACCTCCCATGCCCCACCAGCCTGAGTGACAGCATCTCTCCATGCCATGGCCCAATCACATAAATCTTAGCTCCACTGGTTACTGACATGTTATTCCACTAGCATATCTGTTGTCATGGAAATGTAATTACCTTCAGACAAATTAGGGCAGAGAGAGAAGGCTGGTTTCCTGGTCTTCTTCTATGACATGGGTCAGAGTTATCTCCATGGTGGCCTTGCCTAGCAGGTGGCTGTGATGAACTACAGTATACCCTTGTCTGTGACAGTAAAACTACTGCCAAGTGTTCAGATATCCCCTGCCATCTGCTGGGACTCAAATCTGTCTCTCCCACACCAGGCAAGAAATCACACCGGGAAGACCCAGGATTCTAAGGAAAATTCCATGGCCTAATAGGCCATGTACAGGGGATACCTGTGTACTTCTCTCTAATCTAGCACAGCCAAGCCTCCATATCCAGAATCCCACTTTCTCCCTCCAGGGCTAACACTCCACTTGCAGGTTTGTTGCCAGGATCAAATGAACTAACAAATTAAAAAGACTTCACTGCTTCTAGGAAGGTAGAGTAGATGTGTTTCCCTATTCTCCCCCACTAAGTACAGCTGAAAGCCCTGGACATTGTGTATAAAATAAACACAAGAGGAAAGAAGGCCAGCGAGGGACCCAAAGAACAATGCACTAACAAGATCCCTGAGATTTATTTTGGCTTCATAGATCCCAAGCTGGGAACTGAAGAAGCTAGCAATGAATGCCAGTGGATAAGAGACTAACTCACAGACCCAAAACCCAGTGGAGTAAAACGTATGCCATACGTGGTTAATGTCCAGTCTCACCACTCTTACTCAGCTGAGCACTGGAACTTCTAGCCAGTGCAGTAAGGTAAAGAAATAAAAGACATACGGATTGAAAAAAGAGAAACAAAGCCGTCCTTATGAAATCACCTGCTGTCTACATTTGTATATGTGGAAATTCCCGAAGAATAACAACAAAGTGAAATGAAAATCCTCCTACCACTAAGTGAGCAGGATGGGAGGTGAGAAGTCACTCATGTTTCTCTATGCTAGCAGTTAACATATGGAAACCTAACTTTATAACATGCCATTTGCAGTTGCTCAATGGAATGGACATAGTAAATTTAATAAAAATATTTACAGGACTTGTCTACTGAAAACTGCAAAATGCAGTGAAAGGAAACAGAGACACACTATAGTAAGTTGAGCTGTATCTTCCACAAAGATGTGCTGAAATCCTAATGCCCAGGACCTGCTAAGTGTGACCTTCTTTTGCAAAAGGGTCTTTACAGATATAATCAAATTCAGATGTGGTCATGCTGGAGTAGGGTGGTCCCTTAATCCAGTATGACTTTCATCCTTAAAAAAGACAGACAGACACAGGAGAGCCCATGTGACAACAAAGGCAGAGATTGAGTTGAGGCAGCTGCATGCCAAGCAATGCCAAGGACCGCTGGCTGATACTGGAAGCTAGGAAGAGGCAAGGAAGGATTCTACTGAAAGGTTCAGGAATTAATTGAGCTAATACCTTGATTTTAGACTTTTGGCCTCCAAAATTGTAGGAAAATAAATTTCTGGGTTTTTTGTTTTGTTTTGCTTTTTTTTTTTTTTTTTTGCTTTGTTTTTGGTGGTATGGGGAATCGAACTCATGACCTCATGCTTGCTGGGCAGGCACTATGCTGCTGAGCTATATCACTGGCCCCCATAAATTTCTGTTTTTAAAAGCTACTCAGTTAGTGGTATAGAAGCTAATATGCATACTATATTAATGGACTGTACAATTCAAGATAGTTAAGAAGTCAGTTCTCCTTATAATTGATAGATAGGCTTAGCACAAATCCTATTTGATCCTAGTCAGATTAATGCAATGCGTGGATGGCCACAGTTTAACCATTCACCCACCAAATGAATGAGAACTAGCTGGGCACAGGTCCAGCTACTCAAGAAGCAGGAGGATCACAAGTTTGAGCCACAGTTTGGGCAACTTAGCAACTTAGTGAGACCTTGGATCAAAATCAGAAATAAAAAAGGATGAGGATATAACTCAATGAGAAGGCCCTGGGTTAATCCCCAGTATCACCAATAAAAATAAAAATAAAAATCATTTGCAATGTTATATAAAGCCAGGTGTGGTGACACATACCTGTAATTGCAGCATTCAGGAGGCTGAGGCAGGAGGATAATTGTGAGTTTGAGGCCATCTAGGCTACAAAGTTCAAGGCCAGTCTGAACAGCATATGAAAAGGCAAAATAATAAGAATAGCCTGCAGAACTTTGGGAAAAATATAAATTGAAAGAAAGAATAATGTCTCCCCAATTTTAAGACTTACACAGCTATAGTAATAAAGACCAAAAAGAATATGCAGATGGTTAATAAGCACATGAAAAGATATGCAGTATCATTAGACATTAGAGAAATGCAAATTAAAATCACAATGAGATACCACTCTGCTTGTATCAGAATAAAAAACAGGACAACTCCAAACCCTGGCCAGGATCCAGAGAAAAGTAACCACTGACATACAGCTGTTGTAAAATGGTACGGCCACTCTGGAGAAAAATTTTTGCATTTCCTTTAAAAGCCAAATTTGCTATTACCGTAGTGTCTTGGTTACTTTTCTCTCATTGCTAAGACAAAATACCTGACGCCCAGAATTAAGGAAGGAAAGGTTTATTTAGCTCACTGTCTATGGAGGTTTCAGTCCATAATCGGCTGGCTCCAAGGCGGAGTGGCACATGGCACAGGGCAACAGTTCATGGTAGCAGAAAACAGGAAAAATAACAAGAGGAGGGAGGAACAGCAGCAGCAAGCAGCCTCTTTTCTTCCCTTACATTGTATGCAAACTACCCGCCCCACGGTGGGTGTACAGTCACACCCATAATCCAAACACTGGACCATGGATCAATCATAAACTGTAGAAGCCCGCTCCATGACTGCATGAGACTTTCAGGGACATCCACATACAAACCATAGAACATATTATCTAGAAATTGCATTCCTGGGCACTTATCCCAGAGAAATAAAGTCATATGTTCACATAAAATCTGCACATAAATGTTTAATAGCTGCTTTATCCACAATAGCCAAAAACAGGAAGCAACTTAGGTGACCTTTGCTGGGTGAATGGTTAAACTGTGGCCATCCACACTGTAGAATACTGTTCAGCCGGCAGCATCAGCAAAGGTACGTTCTGGAGACTCTGAGCATCTTTGCCTCTCTCCCAGCTTCTGATGGCTCCTGCAATCCTTGACTGCGGCTCCGTCAGTCCAACCTGTACCTTTGCTGCCGTGTGGCTTTCCTCTCTTATAAGGATCTTTACCATTGGATCCACGGCCTGCCCTAACCCAGGAGGATCGGCAAAGATTTCTGTTCCAAACAAGATTGGATTCTGAACTTCTAGGTGACACGTCTCTCAGGAGGATGACATTCTACCCACTACCATGCTCGTGAGCCTACCCCACCCTGGCCGTTCTGAAGATGGGTACATGTTTTCTGTCTTTGTCCTTGCTCTGGAGCTGACCCAGGGGCAAGGAGAGGAGAGAGTGCAGATTCCAACTGAGATGTGGGCAAAGATGTTGAAGGCTCACGCTCACCCTCTCTGTATCTGTCAGGCTGCTGATTCTTTAATAAACACTCAGGAGGAGAGGTGTCAGGAGGCGAAGAGTACTCTGGGCCCCGTGGCAAAGGGCTGTCCAGAATCAAAGCAGCACAGGCAGGTGGCTGTCCACTCTGCGGCTTTCATTATGTGGTAACCTCTCACTCTACAGTGACCGGGAATCTGACTCCAGACACTGTTCCTTCCACAGCTGGATGCACCCTGGGGGTGTGCAAGGGGCTGGTGAAGCAGGCGGGGCTCTGGAAGCATCTGGGGACTGCGGAGTGGGCAAGGGTTGCAGAGGAAGCTGGTGGGGCCCCTCCCTGCTCAGCTCACTCTCTGGTGTGTCGGCTTCTCTGCCTGTCCTTGACCCCTGCTTTCTTTTCTTTCTGCAGGACCACATCCCTGTCCCTTACCAGCCAGACTCCAGCAGCAACCCCTCATCCACAACATCCTCCACGCCCTCTTCACCAGCACCCCCGCTCCCTCCCAGTGCCACGCCGCCTTCTCCCCTGCACCCTTCCCCTCAGTGCACCAGGCAGCAGAAGAACTTCAACCTGCCAGGTACCCTGTGCTTGGAGAGGCGGAGGGGTACAGTGTCGGAGGAGGAGAGAGTGGGGGGGTGGGTCTGTGCCAAAGCTGTAATGGGGCCAGTCCCTGCTGAAAGGCAACGGTTTGGCAATCAGAGATGGTCAAGGAGGTCCATGGATGGACCCTTACGGTAACACTGCCCCTGGTGAACCGTGGGGCTGATGCAACCAGATTCTCGTTTTTAGCTTCTTGTGAAGGCACCAGAGGCTGCACATAGGAGAGTTTCTCCAGTATGAGCAAAGAGCATTTGTGAAACACGGACTTGCACAGCCTGGGCATTGCATCCACATTGTACCCGATGCCTAGATAGCATCACCCCGGTAATGCTGGTCATGGGCTGATTTTCTCCCAGGTGAATGAGGGCCATATGGGGAAAAAACATCCCTGGTCCTCGGCCATAAGTCATACCTCCCTCCAAGCTGAGCTGCCCACGGTGCATGGAGCCTCCATTCTGTACCTGAGCAGCACCTAGATACAATCCCCCAGCAGAGAAAAACCCGCATTTGGGCTGTGTCCTTAGAGTTGAGGTGTATTGTGAGTTCTTGCAACTTTGGGATTTGTTGTTAGTTTTGTTAAGGTGAAGTATGAGGCAGGCTTATATCTGCCTGGTGTGAGGGCCATTCACCCAGCAGCCAGTAGAGACCACCGTGTGAATCACTGGCTGAACACTTCAGTGTGTGCCACAGAGTTGGTTAGACGGGTGGCCAGGCACTTCCACAGAGAGACGGCTCCCGCTGCCGTCTCCAGCATAGTCTACTTCCACGGCTCTGGAAGAGGGGCAAATGAACAAAAGACCGTTTGACACCCCGAAGGGTGGTGGACCTGGATACTTTCCTCCAGCTATTCTGTCCCCTTGAGACACCAATGACAGTGCATTCTCCCTGGGACTGATATATGTTTATAGACCAAGGCTACAGAAGAGCCATTTTAAGGCAAAGCTGTGCATAAAAGCACCATAGCTCTTCTTGGCCCCAGAAGAAGTTGCTGGCCTCTTCAGAAAAGAGAACTGAGTGACCAGGAGGTGGTCACTGTGTCTCTTAACCCCTTCATCCCTTGGCCAGGGGAAGAGCCTTGCTGGTTTGCTGTGCTAGCCTGCCTGTGAATCTCAGCCTGTCCCATGATGTGGCGTGTCAGGGTCCTGGCCCTCACTGGGAACAGGACTAAGGGTTCCTGAAGGGAAAGGCACTTGAACACAGCCGTTAAAAGAGGGGGCTCCAGAGCCAGACTGCTTGGACTCAAATTCCAGCCCTACCATTTAGTATCCGCATGTTATATAAAGCACTTACCTCTCTGGGCCTCAATTTCCTCATCTGTAAAGTGGGGGAAAATAATAGTACTTTTCCCTTAAAGTCACTGAAGGACTAAACATCTGAAGCTTAGCAGCGTGTTGGTCTCATTAAAGATTTCAACAAATGCTACTTGCCTTATTACTATATAAACACAATAATAACAAATGGCCATGGTTGCCCTTTTTGCATTTTTTATCATTGCTGCTAAGTAAGATGAGCCTAGACAGAATTATAGAAGCAGGGTGAAATCCCCGTGGACTTTGGCACTGGGAGAATAAATCAAATTAAACTTGGAGAAGGTAATTTGGCGTTGTCTGTTAAAGTTTTAAGTGACACCAACAATGTCACTTCTAGGAATTTATATATAGTAATACATTCACCAGGGCGTGGGGATCTCCATGTAAGCACACAGCAGTGAAAATCTGAAATCAACTCAAGTGCCCTGCAAGAGGGGAATGGCTGAGTAGACTGTAATCTGTCTGTAGCACCCTGTGCTCCGTGACCACTGAAAGAATGCAGTGCTCAGTGTAATTTCCTGACGTGGAAGGATATCCATAGTTCATTTTAAGTGGAAAAACAAGTGATTTGCAAATCAATTGGTATAATAACATTCTATCTATTATAACTATCTGTTATAAAATATTTAAAATACATATGTTTTTAAGTGTATACATATGTGTAAATGCCCAAAGTCTGCAAGAAATTCACAGGAGCTCTTCTGAGGTAGAGGGGTGGGTATCATATGCATTTCTATAATGTAAATAACAAAGAGCAGGCATTAGTTTTAGAGCTGAATAATAATAGTAATAATAATAATAATAATAATAATAATAATAATAATGCAATGCTGAAACAGAAAATAGGAACTTCTTCCTCTATCTTAGGCAGTTTTGGCAAAACTCCCCTAGGGTGACGAGGACCTGGTCAGCTGTCACATTCTTGATTCTGAGCCTGTGTTGGTGGGAACTAGAGCTTTGGGTATGGTTCTCTGCCAGATGTTGAGTTCCCTGACGGCTGTTTAAGCTAACATCTAGATATAACAATGTCCCTAGCAGTGATTCATCTGGAATATTCTTGTCCAGAAGTGGGGTGGGAGGTTAACAGCCATTTGCCTCAGAAAAGAGCTGTTGATTAGAAAACCAGGTATGGCATTGCAGACCTGGTGGAGCTTGTGATGTGCACAGCCTGCTGGGTTAACCTCCTTCTGTGCCCTCCCCCGAACCCCTGTGGCCTGGTATAGGATGGAGGTGAGCTTGCTGTGCGGACAGACACACCTTTCCTAACTGCTCAGTGGCTCTGAGCAGCTAACAAATCTGTTTAGGCCTGTTTCTCATCTGTAAAATGGGACTAATGATTCAGAGCTCTTGTGGTGTGCAGCGTGGCAAGATGCTTGGAGAGGTTCATAGGAGATTGTTTTGGGAGCTTCTGAGACTGGAGTAGTCATAGCTTCTTCTTATTGGCCACCAAGTGCCATCTTGATGCACAAGTAAACATGAGCATGCACGCACACACCACTCTAGGAAATGACAAATTCTAGTGCCTCCAAGGAAAAAACAGGAGGCAGAATCTGCCTTTGGTGGAGACAGCAGGATTTCTGAGACCTCACTTAGGCTGGGCCTCTGGGGTTCCAGGCTTCCTCCTCTCCAAACTTTCCCCCATCACGACTCTGAGTCCCTTCTACATGGACCATCCAGGCCATGAATCCATGTTCACTTACTTACTTACTTACTGTCAGTCTCCCACATTTATATAACAGCTCCACAAGACCAGGAGATGTCTGCTTCATTCATATCACAGCCAAAACCAAACACATCATCTACAACCAAACAACTAATGAAATGTTTGTTGAATGAATAAATAATAGATGGATGGATGGCATGGCCCTGTATTGGTTTCCTATTAACACTGTAGAGAAATGACCACAAACTTGTGTTATGATAACACAAATTTATTATCTTATGTTCTGGAAGTCAGAAATCCAAAATAGCGTTTCCTAGGATAAAGTTCCAGTGCCAACAGGGCTGATTGGTTATGGAAGTTCTTGGGGAGGATCTGTCTCCTGCATTTTCCCCAGCTTACAGGAGCTGCCTACATTCCTTTGTTCGTGGCCCCACTCTAGCATCTGCCTCCATTATCACATCTACTGTGAGTCTTTCTCTCTGACTCTGTCTTTCTGGACTCCCTCATGATGACCTTGGTAATGCCATTGGGCTCACGCAGGTGATCCAGGAAAATCTCTCCATTGCAAGATCCTTAACTTAATCTCATCTGTAAAGGCACTTTTGTTATATAAGTTAATGTATTTGATTTCCAGGGACTAGGACATGGATGTCTTTGGGGGTGGGGTGGGGAGCATGATTCTACCCACAATGGTCCCTGTTCTCATAGGATTCATGGCTCAGTGAGAGAGACAAGCGAATAGGATTATAAATTGTGGTAAAGGCTGTGAACAGAAGCAGCAATGGAATGGGGAAATTTGAGGGGTGACCATGTGCAGGTTGAGGTCACAAACAGTTGTGCTCTACAGGTGAAGAGTAGGGGAATGGCCCTCCTGAATGAAGGAGAGGAAGAATGTCCCTAGAGCCCAAATGTCATAAACAAGAGGAAAGGACACCAAGCAAGGTTAGAAGGAGCAGAGATTTGGATTTTACTTGTGACTCAATGAGTTGCATTCAAAAGGGTTAGGCAGAGAATGGCTTGATTCTTCTTCCTCCTAGAAGACCACTCTGATCGCTCTTTCGGGTGGCCTTTGGGTATGAGGGGCCCTCAGGAAAGATCCAGTGTAGCCTGCTTGTCCCTCCTACCTCATCTGCAGCTCCCACATCACAGCTCCTCCTCAATGGCAGAAAGCCAGGAGCCATTTAGCTCCCGTGAGCTGTTTTCTGAGCTCCTTCGCTGCTCCTTGGAGCTACTTTGGGCCAGTGGTCATTATCCTCAGAGACAACAGGTCTCCCGGTGATGTCTTTCCTCCTCCTCTGGCCACTTGTCCCCCTTGAGATCATCAGGACCGAGCTGTTCTGTGGCACACGGAAGGTGGATCTGCCAGGTGTCCCTTGTCTGCCTCTGTTCTCCAGAACAATTCTTCCTCTCCACTCCTCAGCCCATCCTCCTTAAAAGAATTCGACCTCCAGCTAACCTTTTCCACAGACTCAGAATCAATCCCTCAACCTCTCCAGATCTGGAGTGGGGAAGAGACCAGCTAAGCTTTCAGAGAATCCTGGGTAATTTTTCTTTTTAAAATTTTAGCCTCTTATTGACAAAACAGCTGCATGCAATGAGATACCTAGGTTATGTAATAGTATAAAAAGATCCCCAGAGTCATGGAACTAGCTTTTCTTTGAGAGCTTAGCCCTGGGATCTTGAATAAGTCATTTCCCACTCTGGACACCCCACTTTCCAGAGTCCAGATGCATGCACCTGCATTCTAGCTATCTGAGATACCCTAGAAATGAACTAAGCAGAAGTTTCTGCTGTTTTGTTTATGATAAAAAGAGGTGATTCATTCAACCAATGTTTGTCACACACCTACGAGCACAGGGAGTTTAGGATCCTGAGATATTGGGAATTGCTCTCTATCCTGAAGGAGCTTGTAAATAAAATTTGCCCTTCGGATGAGTACTGCATTTGTTTCCCCAAAACAAATGACTTAGTGCTTGAGGCTATTGGATTGTGTCTTAATTATAAATCATCCTTGTCTGTTAGTTAAGAGGGGATACAGAGAGTTTGTTTATTCATGGCAGCTAATACATTCATCCCTGAGGACCTAAGGGTACCAGGATCTTCATGAATACTAAAATCCATAGATGCTCAAGTCTCTTATATAAAACAGCTCGATATTTGCATAGAACCCACATACATGCTACCATACCCTTTAATCATCTGTAGATGATTTACGACCCTCAGTCTAGTACAAATTCTATGTAAATAATTCTATACTGCATTTTTCAGGGAAAATGGCAACAAAAATGTCTGTATATGTTCAGTGCAGATACAAATTTTCAAACTATTTTCTTATATTTGCATATAACTGACAAAATCATATATATATATATATACACCACGTTTTGAAATACATAGACCTTGCAAATTGATCACTATAATCAAGCTGCCTCACACAGTGATAGCAATTCAATTTCATTTTTTTTTTTTTTGTTCAGTACCAGGGATTGAACCCAATGCCTTTACACTGAGATATATCCCCAGTCCTTTTTAAATTTTCTATTTAGAGACGGGGTCTGTCTGTGTCACTCAATTGCCCAGGCTAAGCTTGAATTTGCAGTACTCCTGCCTTACTCCCTGACCAGAGTGCTGGTTTAACAGGCCCCACTTCCTTATAGCAATTCTTCATTTTGTTTTGTTTTGTTTTGTTTTTTGGTACCAGGAATCGAACTCAGAACCTTGCACTTGCTAGGCAGGAGCCTGTGCCGCTGAGCTATATCCCTGGCCTGCGGTTCTTCATTTTGATCCTGGGTTGGTTGAATCCATGGATATAGAACCTGTGGATGCTACAAGCCAACTGTATTTCTTTAGGTCCACTCTGTGATGTGGATATTGATGCGATAATGATCCCAGCCCTAGGTGTAAGGGACTATGGACAGATTTGCTTTGAATTTTGTAAGGAACCAGAAGGAGAGCAAGAAGTCCATCCTCCAGGGTCAGCTTCTGGACTCCAGGCTCAGAACCACTATGCTAAGACTGCATGAGCCAAGTCCTAGCTATAGCTCGTCCCTGAATGCAATAAAATGCTTTCTGGAAGTAGACTCAGAAATTCAGACTCATATCCCTGCCCATTTTATTTACCAGGGCATCTGCAGCTCTGTGTAACCTGCCCCCTACTCCAGGCACCGAACCCCAGTGGAGTAAGCGGTCAATTAGAATCCTTCAAAGTGTCCAATCTCCCCAACTTGGGGCAGAAGCAAAATGAATGGTCAGAGAATCAGCAGTGAAGTCCAGGAAATTTCTTTTACATAATTGTTTTCCTAAACACAGAAATTAATTCATGCTTATGGTAGGCAGAATAATGCTCCCCCTCCAAAAGAGAACAAAAAGCACATGTCCTACTCCTGAATCTCTAAATCTGATACCTTATATGACAAAAGTACCTTTGCAGTTGTGATAAAGCCACAGATCTTGAGATGGGCAGATTATCCTAGATTATCCTGGTGGCCCTAAATGTAATCACAGCGATCCTATAACAGGGAGGCGAGGTCAAAGACAGTGACAGGTGATGTCAGAGCAGAAGCAGAGATTGGACTGACGAGGTTACAAGGCAGAAAATGTGGTTGGCTCAAGCAGCTTTAAAGATGCAGAACAGGTTCTCCAGGGGACCCAGAAAACAGCAGATGCCTTGATTTTAAGGCCTTTAAGACTCATTTCAGACTGCTGGCCTCCAAACTGTAAGAGGATGCATTTGTGTTGTTTTAAGCCACTAAGTTTGTAGTACTTTATAATAGCAGCAAAAACAAAAAGAAAGAAAGAAAATGAATGCAATCCTCAATACAGAAAATTTGAAAAGCTCAGGAAAACATAATCATTCAGCCAAGGGGGAAAGAATTAATACTTGGGCTTATGGCTTTACAATACTCTGTGTGTGTGTGTGTGTGTGTGTGTGTGTGTGTGTGTGTGTGTAAGAAGGAGGGAGAGCGGGAACTCAGGATGACTTTTGGTGTCAGAGTGGTCTGATTTGGGGGATTATAAGATATCGAATGGGAGGGTTGGCTTGGATGCTTACACTCCTGACTCCCTTACACATGCTCTTAGTCCCTTGAAATTCAGAGCGTCTGCAGAAGTATGGAAACTCTCAGGGAGGATGGGGAATGGGAGCCCAGCTTGGCACCTGTGGGACGCACTCACTCTGATGTTTCTTTCCTTTGCAAGCATCCCACTACTACAAATACAAGCAGCAATTCATCTTCCCAGGTGAGTGATTTGTGAGCCGGCAACAGCCCTTCTGCACAAGCCCTGCTGAGAGGCAGGAGTGGCTGGGATGAGTGGACGGGAACATAGTTGGGGTAGACAAGATCGAAGAGAGTGGGAATGGGGCCCCTACACCCCAGGATAAAGGCCAGATGTGGAAGCGGAGAAGGTAAGGTAAGGTGGTTCAGTTCCAAGGGCACCATGGGATCCAAGGAGGCCCCATGCATAGTAGAAAGGCTGAGAGAAAGGAAAGCTAGGCCAGGGTGAGGTAGAGGCCAGAGTCACAGGGCAGGGGAGAGGCGGTCAGAGGGGCTCAAGTTGGGAATTGAGAAAATGTGAAACCAAGTGGTCTCATCCACCCAAAGGGAGCTCAGAAGTATGGAAGACTCAGAGATGACCAACAGATGCTCCAGGCCAGGGGCTTAGGGTCCTGGCAGCCAGTCAACAGGAGGGCTCTGTGCAGGGTGTCATGTAGGATCCTGGCCCAGCTCAGCAGGCCAAATCCAGGAGGTTGATGAAGGGAGACAGGACTGGCCACCCCTGGGGCCCATGATTGCCAAAACATCATTCGCCACCATGTGTCACAGGAATCAGGCACAAATGTAAAGGTAGTTGTGGATTCCATGCTTGGTTTCTGACTGTGTCCCATCTCCGGCTCTCAGATGTGGTGCCCGTGCCAGAGACGCCGACCCGGGCGCCGCAGGTCATCCTGCATCCGGTGACCTCGAATCCAATGTAAGTGAAGCAGAGACCCTTTTCCCCTGCCCTGAACGTTTGGCCTTGGGTCTGCTTAGGTCCTCTGCCATCTGGAATGATGGAGGGGGTGGGCAGTGGGACACAGGGGCAAGAGAAGGCGCCCACAGAGATCAGTGACAAGAAAGGTGATGCTGACCCCAGGAACAAGCTTAGCCTTGGGTCTCTGGTTCTATGCTACAAGCATGATGCCCAGGGGCCAAACCATTTCCACAGGGCCCATAGACCCCCTCCCTATGATGAGAAAGAAAGCTTTCCTAGGCTATAGATGAACCCTAAGGAAAGGCCATTTAATCTATATCATACTCTCTCTTTTAGAAGTATAATTTAGATTTATTGCAGGGATCAGCAGACTTTTAGCCCATGAGTTCCAACCTGTTGCCTGTTTCTATAAATAAAGTTTTATTGGCACACAACCACGCTTACTTGTTTACAAAGCAGTCTCTGGCTGCTTTCTCAGTACAGCAGCAGAGGTAAGGAGTTGTAAAGAAACCATACAGCTCACAAAGCTGAGAGTATTGACTCGGGCCTTTGTGGAAACAGCTTGCTGATCTTGGGTTTATACCACTATAAATATAACATACGCGTATTTTGGGAAGATTAGAATATTCTGGAAAATAACCACTGACAATCCCCGTATGGCTGGAATTTATGTGTGCTTTTTCTATTCATAACTTGCATCATTGTGACCCACAATAAATGCAATCATTGTCCTGCTTTGTTATTTTTAATGCTATGATATCACATTTTTGTATCATTCCAGACTCTTCAGAGACATTTTTAATGGACGTAAATTGTCCTGTTAGTATAAAGTCATTTCCCTAACCAGCTCCCTAATGCTGGATTTTGCATTACTTCACATTTCACTGTTGCAAACAGCAGCACCACAAACATCTTTGTGTGTTGCATCCTGGGCCTGCACCCCCTCTCTGCGGGTTCTATTGGTTCCCTCTCTGCAGATTTCCACTGCACAAGCTGTGGGCAATGTGTGGCCCAGGGGAAATCGCCTTCCTTCATTTGTTTGGTTGTGAGTGAAGTCTGGGCTATGCTAGAATTTGACCAGCTAATCCACTCACATCTTTGCCTACTTGATTTTCCTTCTGGCCCCCCTGAGTGCTCCATCCTCTGTGACCCACAGCAGGATTTTATTAAGGACTCAAATGGTACATCTCTGAAATGAGAGGAGCAGCAATTTGCCGGGGGATATTGCGCTGATGCGTAGCTCTGGATTACTTCTCTGCTGCGCGTAAACCAACTCCCCATTTGTGCAAGATGAACTCCGGGTTATTAACTGACAGTCAGGGAGTGCCAGTGAAACACAGTCAGTAGCTGCCTGCGATCTGCTTAAACTTGAGTGAGCGATGGGAACTCTCTGCAGAGGGAAATAATTGAGCAGCCCTGGTGGCTGGAGTGACACCTTGGTGCAGAAGGAGGAGGGCTGTAGTTGTGCTGCTAGGTGTCAGGAGGGACTGCAGCTGCCCGGTCCCACCCAGAACATCCTCATGCAGTTTCACTGTGCCTTCCCAGGCTGTCCTATAAATATGGGGTTAATGTGCACCTTTGTGATGACTCTTCTTTCCCCTCTGCTAAGTCTTTCAGACTCTCACGTGCCAGGAGCCCCACCAGGAAGCGGACTGACTTCGTACAGAGTCAGCAGCTTGCTGGGGTCCTAGGGTCAGGTTAGGGGAGCCCCACCCACGTGCAGTGAGGAGGTGGGAAGAGGGAATCTGCTAAGACTGGAGAACTGGGAAGGGGGCTTCTATTCATCATGACTCCTGTCCCCTCTGCTCCAGCTCTTCTGTGCTTTTGGTAATCCTGCTGCTGTCTCCCTTCTGAACTCCAACACACACACACATCATTAGGTCTGAAAAGATGGCCCCAAAATACACCTCTAACGCACACTGCACCAGGCATCCCCTCATATAACTGTGCACTTGACAATCCCCTCGTACTCGTACCACCCCTGCACCAGGGCAGATTTTCTTACTTCCACACCTAGTTAAACCATCAGCACAGAGCATTGCCCAAGACCCCCAGGAGGTCCCCCCAACTTACATGCACAAGACAACCCAGGGCATATCCCATAATATTCTCTCTCTCTCTCTCTCTCTCTCTCTCTCTCTCTCTCTCTCTCTCTCTCTCACACACACACACACACACACACCCCTTCCAGTCCAGGCTAGGCTCCTTATTTCTGTTGCACACATCCTGATTCCATGTGCTTGGCAAGCTCCAGCTTAAGCACCATGAACCTTCAAATACACCCAGCAGTTCTGTCTCCTTGGGAATCCCCACCATGCTGCATTTATTCACTTCACACCCAACTTTCAGTTTGTGTCACATTCAGCTTCTCTGTACAGTACGGTATCTGCACCCTCGCCTCAGTTCTTTCAGTAGTGGTAGGATATTCCTTAAAGGTGGACCCATGCCAATTTTAATTCTATATCCCTCTAAGGACCTAGTGCTGTTCCTCACACAGACTTCTAGTTGAATGAATGAATGAATGAGTGAATGAATGAATGGGCAGAAAGACAGATGAACACTTCAGATCCCTCCAAAAAATTCTGAATCTGAGTGAACTTCAGAAATCAGACTCATTATTCCCCAGTGAACACTTAGTCTTCTGAGGAATCTTCCTCACATGGCATTTAGGCCAATTTATAAAGAAGCTGCTAGATGCATTGAAACTAAAGCAATAAAGAAAAATGAGTCCTGAGCATCTCAGGAAATCTATTTAAAATAACATCCTTGTGTGACTCTTTGTGTGGCTGGGTGAAGCATTGTTTTAGACCCATGTGTTGAAATGCAATGCGAGATGCAGGCTTGGTGGCAAGGGCTTCCCATTTTGGGATTCTTCATACGTGGCTAAACTCAATACATGGATCTGCCTTTTCACCTAAGGGTGGCGTTTCTTTTTCTTTCTTTAAAGCTTGGAAGGAAATCCATTACTTCAAATTGAAGTGGAGCCAACCTCGGAGGTGAGAACTGAAGAGCAAGCAGCAAAGCAGCTTTTTCCAGGGGCTGCTGTGGCAAAGCCCACTGAAGTCTTTGATGACGCAGAGGGCTGGGGGTGGGGGTGCACTGGCCTGTGATGGATGTCCTAACTCCAGGATCATTAACGCGCGGTGCCCCTCCCCGCACCGAGCCTAATGGACCATTATATGGTGTGCATCTCGGAAAAGCCAGTTGTGCGGAAGTTGGCAAAGGATTTGCATTTTTAGTTGAAAAATTAACTCTGGGCAGGGTGACTAGCAAGGGGATATGCCCAGCTGCCTTCAAAAGAGTATGTGGGAGGAGATGGAGACCGCAGGGATGGTGGGCATGTGGGGTGCTGGGAGTGCTCTGAGGCTCCTTCCCACCTGCCCAAGCCCCTGAGTGAATAAACGAAGTGTCCCAGGTGAGAACCATGGTGTCCCAACCTCTTGGCTCTGCCAACATGTCCTAAACCAAAAGGAATAGAAGCAGGGTTTTCAGGGAACCTCCTGTCCCTCTAGGACTCTTGTAGTCCTTGGGAGAAGCCAAGTTTTCTGGGTTGATTTTCCTGAGTGTGACATGAAATTTACGCAGGGGATTTTGGGTCAGGAAGACTTGTGTCCGGTTACAAGGTCACCTGCTCTTATGAGGTCCCAGGGCCCTTTGGGAATCCTCCTGGATTGAGCATCCACTGTTCTCACATTCCAGCAAAAAAATCCAAGGGTCAAAGTAGTCCCAGGAGCCCCCAGACACCATGCTGGGCGGGTGGTACCTACATTGTAGTGATGGCCATATCTAAGTGTGCTCAAGTCATATAGATGCACGTGGTAGTATAAATGCAGGTTCCCGGTCCTGGCTTGCTGATATTTTGACTCAGTGCACGGGAGCCAGGAATTTGTTTCTTCTCAGGCACCTCAACTGATGTTTGATGCAGGTGGTCAAACAGCTCTTCCTTTAATTTGAAACTTTGCACCATCCCCACCCCAGGGCAGATCTTCTTATTTCCAAGTCATAAGGAGGAAAGGTAGCGTCAGAGAGTGAAAAATCTCAAAGTCACAGAGGCCAAAGGCCAACTCACTCGCTCTGACTATCAAGCACACTGCATGAATAGCTCATTCTCACGGCTCCTACCTTCCTCCCTGCTATAAGAGCCACAGGCCTCTTGTCTGTAGCTCTGACCTCTCCCAACTTCTGAAACATCAATTCCAAATCCTCTGGGGGAAGCTAAAGACACTCCATATTGCCAATTGTCACACGTTATGCGCAGACTTCTATTTTATAGCCTGTCATCACACCACATGCATGCTAATAGACAAATCAAAACAGTATGGTATTTGGCACTAGATAGGAGGAGTCTAGAGGTATGAACTCAGGTCTCCCCTCTGTCTGGTTGTATCATTTCTCCGGGTGACCAGCACCCCAGCTTTCCTGGGACTAACGAGCACCCTGAGATGTATCACTCTTGGTGCTAAATCCTGAAAGTCCTAGCAAGCTGGAGTGGGGGGTCTCCTTAGCATTTCTCATCTCTGAGCCTCCGTTTCCCCTCTTAGCACAAAAGGGTTGGGTTTTTATGATATCCTTTTCAGGCCCTTTGTTATAGTCTGATTTTAGACCAAAGCCATCCAGGGAAACAGAGCTATATGTCTGTCCCGGCCATGAATACAGACAGAAACGCAGAGGGGTGTTCAGAGTCCCAGCATGACCTTGAGGGAGAGTGGGCAGTGGTAATGGTGGCTCTCTGACTTCTGCTCCTGTCTGGCCACAGAATGAGGAAGGCCACGACGAAGCCGAGGAGTCCGAGGATGACTTCGAGGAGATGAATCTGTCCCTCCTCTCAGCCCGGAGCTTTCCCCGCAAGGCCAGCCAGACCAGCATCTTCCTTCAGGAGTGGGACATCCCTTTCGAGCAGCTGGAGGTTGGCGAGCTCATCGGAAAGGGCCGCTTTGGGCAGGTGTACCACGGCCGCTGGCACGGCGAGGTGGCCATCCGGCTGATCGACATTGAGAGGGACAACGAGGACCAGCTGAAGGCCTTCAAGCGGGAGGTGATGGCCTACCGGCAGACGCGGCACGAGAACGTGGTGCTCTTCATGGGCGCCTGCATGAGCCCGCCCCACCTGGCCATCATCACCAGGTCAGTCCCAGCCGACTCCCACCGGGGCTTCGCCGAGCTCTGCGGCTGGCATAGCTGAGAAACACGGTCCAGGTTAATCAGTCATTCTGGCTAAAGCAGTGTCTTCAGTTTTGCCATTTGCAGTTAACTTGCGATTGTTTCTGTCCCCAGAAAATGCTTCTAAGGCTACACTCTTGTGCAAAGCAGCATCCTGGAGAGAACATGAATAGAGTCAGAAAAATTGGGTCTCTTCCCCTCTCTGCTCTTTTTATGTATAAAGACAGCTCTGAGACTCGCTTTTCCCATGTATAAAATGAGTGGATCACACCACACTATGGGCCACAACTTTTCCAGTGCAAGCTGATGGTAAATACTTTCAGCCTTGCAGACCATGTGGATACCGTAGCAGCCACTCAGCTCTGCCACTATGCTGTGAAAGCGGCCACAGACAGTGTGCAGATGGATTGGAGTGGCTGTGTTTCAGTAAAGTTTTATTTATAAAACCAGGTGGCAGGCTGGATTTAGCCCACGGGCCATAACTTGCTGAAACTCAAACTGAGATTCTACTGAGCTATCATTGTCGCTTTCATTGACACTGCAAGAATCATTCACAATTTTTACCTTCGTTGTTCTGAACATACAGAGTCTGTGGTCTCTGGGTGCATGGAAGGGGATAGTTACAGTAGAGAACTAACATGAAAAGAATGTCTGATGATAGTGACTTTCCTGGACTTGCTCCTTCTGATCTCACCCAGTGACGTAAGGCAGGCATTTAAAAAAATAGATTTGGTTTCATTTGAACAGTTGTGAAACAATCCTTTGGTGTGTGTCTAGATGCTGATGTTTGTTCCCTTATGAGATTACAATCGGTCACAACAGTGACGATCTTGGTGCGGCCTGCAATGCCATAGGAGCTCTCCCCTCCTATATTCAGATCAAGCAATAAAGAACCCAAATTCCTAAATCCCACATCTTTAGGAGATATCCCAGCAGGAGCTGCAGGCCCAGAGAAGAGTTGGTGTGTCTTTGCTCTATTCCCTTGTGAGGCCAAACCCTCCTCAGGTCAATTTATAAGACCTTACTAATCATTATCACCTGTCACCATTGATTATGCAGATGGTGGGGTGACTGGAGCCTGTGTGTTGAATGGCAAGTGCTTCTGAGGAATTGGAGATGCAGGTGCAGACATTCAGCTCACCTTAAACGGGGTGAATACAGTGAACTTCAGTTCTCCTAGGATGGAAGTGACTCTCAAGCTATCAATTCGGGGCCTGGGGTATTCTGATTAGGCAGTGGGAGGTCGGTAAGCTTGTGTTCAGTAATCATGCAATATCCCCAGAACTCAGTGGCTTCCCTTTATCCATAGGCAGCTCTTTTGAGTTGACCCATGCCCTCATAGGAGCTTGTCATCATCTTGTAGGTGGGAGGGGGTCTGGTCAGTCTTGGACGCCCTTGCTCCCCTGTCATTTTGTTGGTAGACCATCAGCCGGGGTGACGTGATTCTGCTCCACATGGCATTTATCTCCAAAGACCTAGTTTAGTCTCATTCCCATGCTGATCTCAAGTTCCCAGTTCAGCAAGAGGTGAAGGTCTGCTACACAGGTATTTTTCACACCTCACCACGTGATACATTGCCTAATATTCATTGGCCAAAGCAACACCTGCGGGCCGCTAGATTCAAGGCATGGGGAAATAGTTTCTACCTGTGAATGGAAGGATCTGTAATGTCCTATTATAAGAACATGGATGCTGGGAAAGGGACAGTCTGGGGTCACTTTTAGCCTTCTTTTCCCTGTTACCCAGTTTATATGGTCTCCTCTTAGCAGGAGATCAGGAGCCCTTCACTTGGGACGCACAGGTCCGCTTGAAAGGTGGTCTTTTCCCCACCCCTGCTTTCCTTCTTACTACTCCGCCCTTAAACTGTTATCCCCAACTCTCTCTTGGGTCAGTTCCTCGCCTGCTAGTCTGCTAAACCTACTCTTTTTTCCACTCTCTGATTAGAAATCTGAAACCCATTGTCTCCTCTGCTTCCTGACCTTTCTAAGGACTTGCTGCCTCCTTGTCCTCCGACATTTTCAGAGTTACCATGCCTCCCTCTCCTGGAACCTTCCCCGAGGCAGCCTAATTGGGAGCGGATGGCCCAGTTAGCAGCCACCGTTGAAAATCGAGTGGTCATTATGAAAATGCAGGGCGCATCCCGCAGGCCAGCTGCATTTGCAGCCCTCTTCTATTCCGTCCAAGCTCTGAGCTCCCCGCCCCACATGCCATACCCACCTACGGATTTCACGGAGCCCACCCTCTTCCTGGCACCGTGATAAAGACTCTGCAGCTTTGGGACATGTAATTGGTCTCTGGAGTGTTTAGGTATTTTGTGTGAGGATGTCAGACGAGCCCCAATGAAGTGGTGTTTATTCCCTGTTATTGTGTTGTGATATATTTATCCTGCGGAGGGGCTCCCTGCACCCTGCTCCTCCATTCAGGACCACCCACTTGTTGACCATCCAGATTTCTTTTCTGAACATTGGATTTGAATCCAAATATTTGAGTAATTTGATTAATCGCTTGCACTCGCATGATTGACTGGCAGAAGTTGATGATTGGATGCTAGCCAACCAACTGGAACAGTTTTTGGACAGAGGTTTTATTTTACAGGGAGCATAAGACCGGATAATTACCTAGCACACTCTGGATAAATTCACAATGGCATATTTGAGCCAATTACTTAGTAATTATCATCGAAGTTAACAAGTATTTCTAAGATTAGCATCCTTGTAATGCAGTATGTATGGCTCTCAGGGAATGAGTAATAACCAACTAGTTACCCCATTGGTATATCCACAAATAAAATTAGTGTGGGGATGGCGAAATTATTTCACGATTGGGTCATTATGGAATTATTGCAAAGCTATCGACAGCCCGCATAATTGCTCATGTTAAAAGCTCCAAACGGAATTGGAAAGCCAGTAATGCAAGAGCTGAATCAGAGTCTCACGCCCTTCCGGCCAGCTGCTGGTTTTCCTGGGCCTCTGTTTCTGCATCTGTAAAATGAGCGGGTGGAAGTGGTTGTTTGTCACAGGATTTTGTTCCAACTTTGACCAAATTCTTGGGTTCTCTAAGAAGATGCTTCCCAGAGGAAGGTCGCTCTGCCCTTCTGCCAGGGCCACCAGGGGACAAGGCTGTTAAAACACAAGTGCCCAGGAGCTCCCTGTCCCCCATTTCTAGCAGATTACCACAGTTTCATGGCTTAAAGCAACACACCTTTATTCGCAGACAGTATTCAAGTCTGAATGGACCTCACTCAACTAAAATCAAGGCCAGGCTGCAGCAGAGGCTCCATTCCTCCCTTTCCCAGAGCCTGTTCCTTGAACTCTGCAGCTTCTGGCCCCTCCCTCCACCTCAAGGGCAGCATCAAATCATCTTGTTTCCATGGCTACATCATCTTCCTCTTCTGTGGGCAAATCTCCCCCTACCTCCTCCTTATGAGGAGAGTCATGACTACATTTAGGGTTCGCCCGGGTGAGCCAGGATAATCCCCCATCTCAAGACATTTAGCTTAATCCCATCTGCAGCCCCGTTCTGCCATCTAAGGTAGCACTCAGTGTTTCCAGGGAATAGGGCCTGGGCATCTTTGGGGATCACCCTTCAGCCTCTCATACCACTGTGGACCCAATGAATCCAGTCCAGCTACAGGTGGAAACTTTTCTCCCTAGTACTGGGGATTGAACTCAGGGCCGTCCAACAACTAAGCTACATTCCGAGTCTTTTATTATTTTTTATTTTGAGACAGGTCTTCCTAATTTTCCCAGGCAGGGCTTGAATTTATGATCTTCCTGCCTCAGCCTCCCGTTGTACTAGGATACAGGCACGCATCACTACAACCAGCTAAAGGTGGAGTTTTTAAAACCAAGTCCAGGCCCTAGGGGGTAAGAAGATGCTCCTTTCTTTCCAGAAAGCTTTGTCACCAAGGTTACAGTGTCCTTTTAACTTCTGGAAAAGAGGTTGGAAAATCTGTGGCCTGACAGAGATTAAATCCTTCACATAGTTTCTTGAAGTGAGAGGTGATCTGGCTGATCCTCTTTGGCAGACTTATTTCCCTGGCTGAAGGGTAGGACAAACACACAACCCTCAAAAGCAAACCAGGAATGTGGCCAATTCCACCAGCCTTCAGCAGGCACCTCGCTTCAAGGCAGCCTCTGTATGGTCTCCTGTTGATCACTGTACCCATTTTACAGACAGGAACCCTGAGGTCAAAGAGGCCAAGGAAGCCCTTGTCCTGGTCGTAGAACAAGTAAGTGGCAGGACCTGGAAAGGAGCAAATGTGCCAGTGAATGCTAGCCTGGTATGGCCGTTCTTTGCCATGGCTGCCTGAGCCAGGTCAGTGAGGGGATGGGCCCCACCTGGGAGCAGTTCCGGGTCCTAGGGGTTCTACAGTTCTGGTCATATCAGAATCACCAGGAGGACTTGTCACAATGCGGTGCCCACGCCCCATCCTGCTGCACTTAGCCTGGGCCTCTTTTTTAGAAAAATCCAAAAGATTTCACACACATCAGTTTGAGAACCACTGGCTTTGAGAACTGAGTCTCTGTGGAGCTTTGATTTTCCATAGTTATGTGCTTCTGTAAATTCCTGTGGAGCCAGGATGGGCGTGTACACATACACACACACACACACACACACACACACACACACACACACGCCTCCTCTTCCATACACACCCCAGATGACTTGTTAATTCTCTTTTCTTTCTTTCATTCCTGTCCTCTTCCCAAAACATCCCTGACTGAGAAACACGCTCCTCCTCCCCTCTTCCCCCACAAACAGTTCAATCCAGAACCTAAGCACCTCGCGGAATTCCCATGCAGAGCTCAGGGCTCCTCGGAGAGCCCCCAGCCCTGCTCCCGCCGTCATTTTCTGCAATTCCAAAACGACCCCACCTGCTCCTTTTCCATGTGGGTCCCTGACCAACCCCACAGGGGAGCTTGGTAGAAATGCAGGCTCTGCCCCCGATCCCGGCTTCCAAC